CCCTGTCCTAGAGGGAATGAATGGCCTGACAACCCCAGAGATCCTAGGTAACAAAGAGGTAGACATGGATCGCCTAGAAAGGGGGAGAACACAAGATCTCCTGAGTAAAATGGGAGTGTGGGGGGCAGGGGGAGGGCGGGAGGGGGAGGGGAGGAAAACATGTACAGCTCAATTAAAAAAAAAAAAAAGGCTTGGGGGGAGAGATGATGAAGAGCCACAAGGCTAGCTCACTCACATGCTAGCTGTGTGAGCCTGGGGAAAGGTGTGTGTATGTGTGTGTGTGTGTGCCCTCCCTGTGCACATATATAGCCTGTGCACAAGAAACTAGGCCAAGCTCGTCAGTGAAGACAAAGAAGAAATCTAAGTTAACCTTACTAAATCCCAAGCGTAGAGCGAAAGACAAGCACATCACCTAAGGCCACTCAACCATGTTCCACACACTTGCAAGTCTAGCTTTATACTTCACTTTGTAATAAACCAAAGAAGAGTATGCAAGAGAGAAACGCACTGGAAAGCAAAAGAGCAAGTCAGAACCTGTCTTATCTCCATAGGCCACTTCAACCTCTCCCAAGAGTCATTTGCCTTGCAAGCAAGGGGAGCATTGCAATTCCTTCTCTGTGACTTCCAGGAACATGTACAAGTAGGGGTTGCATAAGTATTTCTTCAATGAGCTAAAGAACATATGAGAGGGCTGGAGAGATGGATCATGCAGAAAACCTGGGTCCCACATGGCAGATCACAACCGTCTATCAGGGGATTGGATGCCCTTTTCTGGCCTCTGGAAACACTGCATACATGTGGTACACAGACACACTTGCAGACAAATATTCATTTATGTATTATATATATATGTGTGTATGTATATATATACATATTATGTATACATATATTATATATGTATGTATACATATGTATACATACATACATATGCACATAGACATGTGCACATATATGTAATACAATAAACCTTAAAAATATGAGAATGTGGTTTTACCTTTTAGAGGTATTAAATGACCCTCAAAAGTCTTATCACTTCATGCTTCTGAAATACCCTCTCAACTCTCCAATATATTGAGACCAGTTTAAAATGCAACCCAATCCTTACCATTAAATAACAGTCATTGCACAGGAAGTACAGTATCAGCAACATAGTCATAATGTGCTAATACTTGTATTTGAAAACCAATGTAGGCTTATAAACACATTTACCTCCACTTTCTCTTATCATCGTCACTGTTACTCCATGGAGGATAATGAACTTTGCTGCTGTTGTGATGGTGGTACAGAGAGAAAAGGGTGAAATGCACACCAATTAACATACGAGGCAAAAAATGTTTTGAACTAAAAGGAACGTAGCCACTGACCCTGTCCACCCTCCCAGGAAACAAATTCATAATGTATCATCCTCTCATTATAAGAATGCTGGAAGAATAGAGCTTGCAATATTCCATCTTATTCTTATAATAATATTCAGTAATTATAATAAAATAATCCTATTCTTATAATAACTTATTCTATGCCATTCTTTCTCTTTACAAAGCTCTAAACATTGCGTTAACCCAGAGGCACAGGCACACAGGTGTGCGGCCTGTTGGTCTCAGCTAAATCCTGACCCATATTCCTATCTGGTTAGACCTCATCTCCCTCCAGAGAAAGGAGAAAGAGAGCAAGCTTCTCAGCTGACACCCGCATTACTTAGAAAAGATAAGGCTTTTATGGTTAAATTGCTAAACAAATTCTATCTGGATAATCTTAAGTGGAAAGGATACATTCTGCATTCCAAAAATCAAAATACCTAATCCAAACAGATATTATCTTGTCTCAGTTTAGAAGCCAGAAAAGAGAAGAATTCTCCCTCACACCTCACATTCAGTCAACCAACATGTAATCCTGGGCTCTAACTTCATGCCAGGCACCAAGCCAGGCCAGTACCAGGTGTAACATGTAATTATTTAGGATTTGCAAGTTATCACTCTTTCCCTGAACCAAGAGCAATAAAACCTCTGTCTTAAACATTAAGACAGAGCCTTCACCTTAGCTGTCACCTTTGAGAACATTCAAGAAATTAACTGTGACCTCTAAGATCAGAGAGCTCCGTTCATTCACCTTATCATCTCAATCCTATTAGGAGCTGTTAAAATAGCACAACACACAAACACAAACACCCACACACACACCAAACACACCAAACACACACGTACACACACACAAACATAAAAACACACATGCACACACACAAAACACACAAAGCACAAACACACAGACACAAACACAAACACACACACACCCCACCTCACACACCTCATCTCTTTCTTCCTTCCTTTGAACTTACCTCCAAATAAGAACAATTAAGTGGTAATACCCAAATAAAGAACAATGGACAATACCTGCACGCACAGCTTTCCTTACCAACAAAACAACAAAGATGAAGAACACTGTTCAAAGAGAAGAAAGGAAGACACAGACCATTACTCCTGTCAAGAGCATGGAGAGAGCACTCTACTCCACTCAGCAAAACCCGCAACCCAACTTGGAATGAAAGAAAAATCCCCCCCCCCCAAGGTAAGTAAAAGAAATGAGGGATCGATTTACTTTACAAATAAGATCCCAGACACAAAGAAATCGATCCTGTATTTTTCAGAAATGGGGTTTTAAATAAACACCCTGCAAAGATAATACACGAGCAAACAAGTCCCCCTGAAAGACGGGAGAGGGGAGGGATGTCGCGGCACAGCGGCAGCTATCTCCGGAGCTGGCCTTTGCTTTGCTCTCCCTCCAGCCCATTTAACAGTGAAGGACTTTCTTCAGTGTGTTCACAGCGACGCCTAACACACTCATAAAACCGGAACTCTTCCCTTTCAGATTTTGCTTTCTGCCCCTCAGAGGATATGACTTTTATGAGACAGTTTCACTGCACTTGGGAATGTTGGAAACCACAGTGAAAGTAACAAAACAATGTCTTTACATTAAAGTCTAAATGGGGGGGGGGGGCACAGCAGCAGGTAAAGCAAGCAAGCCAAGTCAAAGCCAGGGGCCAGGGACTGCGACCTGAGCTCCCAGCCAAACCTTACATCCTGCATCTGTCTAGATGGACGTTAACCTGAGCCAAAAAAAAAAAAAAAGTGGGGGGGGGTGTTTGAGAAGACAGGGCTTCTCTGCAGCTTTGGAGCCTGTCCTGGAACTCGCTCTGTAGACCAGGCTGGTCTCGAACTCACAGAGCTCCACCTGCCTCTGCCTCCCCAGTGCTGGGATTAAAGGCGTGCGCTGCCACCAACTGGCAACCTGAGTACTTTTTAATAGTTTTCCCTCAGTCTTTCAGTGGGCCTGGCACCTCAAAGACAGCTATGAGAAGCTCTGAAACAGCCCCAACAATACAGAAAATGAAAGAGAACCCCCTCAGCTTTGAAGCACTGTTTAGCTAAGTATCCACAGTTAGCGTCCAGCAGTACAAGAGATATAGCCTATACTTTCTTTTTATTTGGAAAATTTCCTCAGCAAACTGGCTTTTATTTGGGGCAAATTGCAAGAGATAGACATAGCACTGTGTGGGCCAAGCTCAACCAAGCATTTACTTTTGAAAGTAGTCTTCTGGACATACTTGAGAAACATCAACCTAGAAGACACCTGTTTGTCTGTTTGCTTGCTTGCTTGCTTGCTTGCTTGCTTTTGGAGACAGGATTTCTCTGTAGCTTTGGAGCCTGTCCTGGAACTTGCGCAGTAGACCAGACTGGCCTCGAACTCACAGAGATCCACCTGTCTCTGTATCGGGGTGCCGGGATTAAAGGCATGTGCCACCAATGCCCAGTGGACACACTGTACTTTAAAGAATGTTCATAAACAGACAACCCACTTAAACTGGCTACAGCAAGACAGAAGTTACCACCATAAACATATAAGCAGCAAAACCAAATTTCAACTCTGAATCTTTGATTTAGGCTTCGCTCTCAAGCGCATGCGTTAGCCGGTCTGCATCCTCGTCGGTGAGTTCATCAAATTACGAAGCTTTAGCAGAAACATATATCCCTGCATACCTAAATAAACCCACATACACGGGCAACACTGCCCAGGCAGCCGTCACCGCGCTTTCTCCGGACAGCCTGAAGTGCGATTCCTAGAAGGCACTGGTAAATCTCTGCCAGGCCAGTCTGCAGCGCGAAACCATGTGTCCTACAAGATCACAGGGGGCCCAACGCTTCCAACCCTGTGCTTGAGCTCTGCATGGCAACAGTGCTTCAGCCTCACGCCATCTACATAGTAACTGCATGGGATCGAACACAGCTCCTGTCAAGGAGGATCTGCTTGACCACAAACAGGCAGCTCTGTGGAGACACAGTTTCTGGAACAGAAACACAAGGCTGTTTGCACAATTCCAGAAACACATACGAGTGCTGCTGCGTCCCTGAGCTGTACTAAAAAAAAACTTTTCCCACCTAAACTTCCCAGCACAGGGCTGGCTGCACACCGACTCCCAAGCCAGCCGTGCACAAAGCAAAAGCGGCACGCACCTCACGGCCAGAGCCGTGCGTGGATTGGGCAAAGCCCGCCCCTGCCGGATCCTGACCAGGCCGGGTTGCTATGTGCTTGTAGCCCGGTCTTACTTTCTGGTAATGTGTTTTTAAAATCCCGCCGCGACCCAGGTCATTGCTTTAGAGAATCTAATAACAACCAAATGACCGGACCTGCCGGGCACTTAGCGAGCCATTCTGCTTATGGCTCTTTAATAGCACCCGGAGTTCTGCCGAGGGGGAGAGCGGAAAACTCCAGCGTCCCCGGGAAGAGAAGCGCTGCCCCGGGAGCGCGGAGCGTGGCCTCGCCGCGCCTCTACCTGTCAACCCGGCCTCCCCGGGGTGGGGTGGGGTGGGGTGGGGGAGCATCCCGTCCCACAGGGAGCCAGCAAGCCGGCCCGGCAGGCAGCAGGCAGGCAGGCAGGCAGGGGGCCATGGGCCACCGCGAGACCCGAGAGGCGACACGCACGCACGCCGCCCGCGCCCCGCACCTACCAGATAATCCATGTACAGAAACGCCTCAGCTATCCGGAGATCAGACATCCGGCGGCCTAGAGCATCCGGAATGGCTCGGGACCCGGAAAAAAAAGAGAAGCAGCAGCAGCAGCAGCCAGCGAGCCAGCAGCCAGCAGCGTCTCGGGGCTGCGAGCGAGCAGCTTGTGGAAAAAAAAAAAAAAGCAACAGCGAAAATCGCCGAGAGCAGCCGAAGAGCCGAAGGTGACACCAGGGGAGCGCCGATTGGCCGGGAGGGCGGGCCGAAGGAGAGGCGCGCGCTCATTGGTCGGAGCGCCTATAAAAGGCAGGGCGCCCCGGCGGCGGGCGGCAGAGAAGCGCGGGAGCCCGGAGTGGGTGGCTCCTGTCTGCGCGCGGGGCGGGGCGGGGCGGGGAGGGGCGGCCGGGCGGAAGCGCCGCGCCTGGGGAAGGCGCTGTGGCCCCGGCGGGCTCCCTCGGCCCGGAGATCGTGCAAAGCACCCAGCCTCAGGCCGAGGAGCGGCCGTGTCACCGCCCGGTGCGGTCGGTGAGCGGCGAGCGCTTCCCTGCGGCCCAGGGCGGCTGCCGTCGGAGCAGCTAGCTGGGCGGGGGCCGGGCAGCCGCTCCTCGGCGTCTGCTCCGGTGCACGGTTTGAACGGGACCTTCCTGCCGCTCTGCACCAGCGGGGCCCAGGCAGGAGCCCCGGGGCGTTCTTAGAGCCCTAGACAACCCCGGGAGCAAGCTGTCCACCCCAAACTAGCACCGAAGGAGGTAACTCATCGATTCTTCGCGTACTTTTAAGTACAGGTGCATTGCCCAGTATCCAACGTCCCTGCATAAAACGGGCTGTGGGCTTGTGGCGACCCTCTAAAGGGCCCCGAACGGTGCCATGTGTGACCCTTACCTTATTATTCTGAGAGGAGAAAGCCATGTCTAACAGCAGATGCACTTGACACTTGTGCGTTCCCTGGTAAATGACTGGGAATTGGGTGAAGCCGCAGTCAAACAAGAAATAAAGATAACAGTCAAATGCTGAATTTTTCCCCCTCCAAGATTCGGGCTCTAAAGGGCAAAATTGAGACACGGTAAGCATGCCCTTTTGAGTTGGGTATGAAGAGAAGTATAACTCATTACAAAAATGAGTGTTAAAAGCGCGCCATAATTTTTGTACTTTCTAGAAACTCTTAGGCTGTGGACAGAACGTTACAAGTAAGCATTTGCTGCAGTGTTTAGAATAGAATCTCACCCAGAGTGGTGGCACACACCTCTAATACCAGCACTGTGGACAGGAGGCAGAGGCAGGCAGGTCCCTGAGTTCCAGGCCACCTAGGCTACAAAGTTCCAGGACAGCCACCTATACAGAGAAACCCTAGCATTTGACCCTTTTTGTGTGTCCCCAAGTAACAAATATACTTGCAAGTTTACCTGAGAGCAGTGAAAATATTTCTGTTATAGAAACCATATAATTAATTATAGAAAACTATAGCATTCATCCTAAATATACACATAGCCAGGAAGGGTGTGTAGCCCCTTCTGCCAGCAGCTCGCTCATGAGCCATGTGACTGGATGCACTATCTAATCTCTGAACCTGTTTCCTCAGATACAACATGGGAATTCCTACAGCTAGAGGGTTTCCAGGCTAATCAGAGGATTTTGAATGTATAGACACACTTCTGCCAGACTTGCCTTTGACAGGCGTATGTGTGTAAGTAATCACTTCTTGAAAGCAGGGGTGTTCTGTTCTGTTTTTAGTCTACTCAAAGGCTTGGGAGTCTAGATGGGTTTTTTGGGGGGGTTCCCCCCCTTGGCATTCTGTTTATTCAATCACATGTCAGTTTACAATGATTTTTGACCTGGATTCTGATGTAAAAGACTTCCACAAACTTAGTCTTTACTATATCTGGTTGAATGAATATACAGCAATCAAAAGGCTTTCAAAGGTCTAGCAAAAGTAACAATCAAGGGACAACTGTTTTTTGTTTGTTTGTTTTTTGATTGTTTGTTTTCTTTCCCTCCAGGAATCAGCATATCCCAAATGAGATAAAGCAGTTGAATTAGCAAGGAGACAAGTTTCTATCCATTGTCTAAGTAATTATTCGAAGTCACAAGAGGCCTGAAGATAACTAGGCAGAAAATAAGCACTTGGGAGCAGTTGGCTTGTGCCTTTCCTTTAATGATAAACAGGAAAAGATCATCGGGCTAAATAGTGCTTTGCGCTGGTGCTAGGAATCAGAATAAATAAATGGACCCAGCGCAGGGCCATGGAAGGATCTGTCTACAGAAAAATTCTGGTGACTGTTCTCCCTTAATCTGCATCCCTATGACTGCCATCTGTGAAAACTTCATGTTCAGTCTCATGGAATTTTTTGGGGGGAGGGACAGGGAGGGTTCGAGACAGGGTTTCTCTGTGTAGCCCTGGCTATCCTAGAGCTAGCTCTGTAGACCAGGCTGCCATCTAACTCACAAAGCATCTGCCTCTGCCTCCTGAGTGCTGGGAATAAAGGCATGCACCACCACCTGGCCAATCTTATGGATTTTTAAAATCCTATTTTGCATTTTTGAAAAATCCATGCCTCCCCTCCCAAAAAAAAAAACCCTCCATGTGGAACGTAATTTTTCAATTAGGTGACTTCTGAAATGGTAACAGTACCACAGAATAGAGAGGAAGGACTAGCTTCATGGTGGTGGCTTGAGAACAAGCCACTACATAAAAAGTGGTTGTAGCTGATGGGGTGTTCAAGTAGCAAGCTCCTTCGTCACACCTTGAAAAGAATGGAGAGATTTGGGGTGCATTTATTCAAGTCACCCTATGGTATGCCAATTAACAGGCTTTGGTCCTCAATAAGGCATGATCTCCTTCACACTTAGTCCTGCCTTCTTTCAGTTAAGATCAATGACTCTCTTCTCGATGCAAACTCATGAGGCAATTGCATTACAGGATGTGAGGACCCCTGTCCCAATGCTACTGCTGCTGCTGCTTGTTAAAAGCAAGGAGAAACTCTTGTGCAGATACAGATTGCTGGTGAACCAGTCGAATTCTGGGGAACTTTCTGTTGTTGCTGTTGTTAAAGTGTCACTCTTAGGCAACATAAACAAATGTGTCTTTACAGCCTAGTCTTCTAAATTCTGCTTTCCTGGAAAACCAAGAATGGCTATTTCCATCTACTCTTTGTTGTTCGTTTGCTTAGGGATGGAAACTGCCTTTAGTAGTTCAGTGTCACACGCAGTAACTTTGAACTTGTCTGGGAAAGGAAATGCTGCATGAATGTTTCATGGCTACATAAAGTTCTATTTTACAAGTGTACTATGTTAACAAATCTTCTGTGACATCGCATATTATAAATGTTGCAGTGAGCACTTGATTATAAAACCATACACTCTTTAGCCTAATGCTCCTGTGCAGTGAGTCACTCTGCTCACTCCATACAGAAACCAGTCAGTTGAGAGGCAATGCGGCGACGAAGAGCTTGATTACAGTGAGCTAGCATGGTCAGAGGAGGTGGGAATTCTTATCCCTAAAGAGCCATCTTGCTGGGAAACTCATTTGCAGGCAGGTTATAAATAGGAGAAGCGGTGATCTCAGACTGATGGGTACCTTCTCACGGGTGCAAGTTTAGTCAAACAATGTGTGTCTAGTTGTGATCACCTAGTGATGAGCTGTGACTCTTGCCTGCAGACGTCAAGAACAAAGACTGTTTTCTCTGAACTATCAGTGTGCCCACTTGCAACTCCTGAACGATTATGCAATAGACCGGCCAGAGTGAGTAGCTGCCTCCAGTGCCCTAACTTCAGTTGCCAAGCTAAATGTAATGAAAGAAAACCTCCTTCATGTGATTATTGCAGAAGGGTCAGGTTAGGGGGAACAGGAAACCGCCCTGAGATCTGACTCAGTGTGGAGCTGCATAAAGACGGTTTCTAGTGTGGCATTAGTTTCCATCTCTGAGGACGCAGCATCCCCTTACTTTTGGCTGTATGGCTTCGCTCTTGTCTTGCCTTCCTGGTCACATTGCTGTAAGGAGTAAGGTTTTTCCTCCCGCCGTTGCTGGTCTTGTCCTGCCACTGCGCCAGCCCCAATTAACGCACAGAGACTCTGTATTTGATATAATGCTGTTGGCCAGGTACTAGTTTCTAATCACTAGCTCTGTCTTAAGTATTAACCCATTTGTGTTAATCTATGTATTTCCACGTGGTCTTCTTACCTAGAGCCGGCTGCTGTACTGCTCTCTCCAGACTCTCCATGCTGACTCCTCCTTACCACTTCCTCTTTCCTCCTCGTCTCCTAGTCCCGCCTCTCTTGCTTTCCTATTGGCCAGCAGTGCTTTATTCATTAACCAGTATGAGAAACACATTTACAGAATCGCATCTCCTGCCACACTACCACCTGCTCTTCTGTAGTCTAATCTCCCCTGGTATATGAAAACACTTTTAATCATCTTGCACTCACAGATAAAGGAAACTTGCCCCTGGGGCTGGAGTATGGCTCAGTGATTAAGAGCACTGAGTGCTCTACCAGAGGACCAGGGTTCAATCCCCACCACCCACATGGCAGCTAACAACTGTCAGTAACTAAGATATGACACCCTCACACCAACATACATGCAGGCAAAAACAGCAATGCACATAAAATAAAGGAATTTAGTCACATCTGCCAAATTGTTTTTGCCATATAAGGTGACATCATAGATTTTAGAGATTAGGACCTGTGCTGACTAGTTTGTGGGGTGTGTTTTGTGTGTGTGTGTGTGTGTGTGTGTGTGTGTGTGTGTGTGTGTGTGTGTGAACTTGGCACAAGCTAGGGTCATCTGGGAAGAAAAACCTCAAATGAGAAAATAAATCCATCAGATTGGTCTGTAGACAATCTGTGGGACATATTTTGATTAATGATCTTAGACGTTTTCTTGTTTAATGATTGATATAGGAGAGTCCAGCCCATTATGAACAGTGTTACACCTAGGCAGATGTCCTATATTGTATATTTTTATAAAAACAAGCTCCATGAGTTCTTAGGAAGATCACGTATTTATACTCACACATCTATGTGTGTGAGTAACAACAAAGATATAGAGGCCATGAATTTGAGAACAAAGTAGTTAGATGGGAAGGGTTGGAAGGAGAAAAGGGAAGAGAAGAAATGATGTAATTCTAATTT